TGAGAGTCCGTATCGCAACAAGTGAGGTTGCGCATTTCAACCAGCTATGCATCATCACATATGAAGAACATGCATTGGGCGCGTTGACAACGATTCAGCTTCGTGATCGTAAGTGCCGCGTTCGCGTCTAGAGAGGGAACCTTTTTTTTTCTTCATTTCTTTTTTGTTTAATTTTTTTAAGAGGTCTAGAGGTCTCTCTTTATCAACTGGTACCTCTTTTAAGAGGCATAAGTCTCTTAAGAGGTTAAGAGGTCTATTCTAACGGCTCAAAAAAATAAAAAATTGTGGTCAATTATTATTGAAAAATAGCATATGTAATATAATTTAGATGAATTTATTGTACACTGAACGTCATTAATGTTGTCCAGCTTGTTGATGCAGTGCAGTGAGATAAGAGAAAAGAGTGGAAAAAATAGCATATGTAATATAAAGTCTATTTAGATGAATTTATTGTACACTGAACGTCATTAATGTTGTCCAGCTTGTTGATGCAGTGCAGTGAGATAAGAGAAAAGAGTGGACAGTGACTCTTTGACGGACGTATGTACCAGGATAGGTGCGTGAAACGGAGCTAGCGCTATGGTGCGAGCGAGACGCGAAAGCGTCGTACGGTGCGTCCTGTTCGAACGCATGAGTGGGAGTGAGACGGCAATGCATGAGTCGCACTGAGTCGTACCTGGGAGCTTTTTAAGTTTTATTTGCTTACTGTATTATTTCCAGAGCTTCATATGGATATTAAGGGTATTGACTACCTTATTACAACGGTTTATGTAATATCCTGTAAAAAAAAAGGTGGATACAAGTCTCCTTATTTCAGTGTTCACCCGGTTTAAAATCTTGGATCTCGAGGAACACACGAATTCATTCGACCAATCAAAAACGTGGAACTAGTTCGAGAGTCTCGTTCAGGTGGCGCGTCGAGGCGCCAAAACACAGCTCCAGATTATCACGCGTAGTATTACTATATATACACGACCAATCAAAAACGTGGAACTGCTTCGAGGGCCCTCCGCTAAGGTGGCGCGCCGAAACCAGAGAAAAATTGAGACCACCAAAAACAGGCTCATTGGCAATCTCCCTACTCGTCTCTGTAGCAACGATACGGAAGCGGTTGCTAGGGTCTCTAAGGACTTCACGGAGCACGAAACGTGATTAGGAACATCGAGCATGCTCCGTTCCGTAATTTATAACGGCTTACGTTTAAAATACATAGCAGCGATACGGAAGCGGTTGCTAGGGTCGCTAAGGATTTGACGGAGCACGAAACGTCATTGTCAAATGTCATTACCTGTCACCTGTCATTACCAGCTCTATAGACGAGGTCATTATCAATATCGTTAGAGAAATGAAATTTCTCTACGATACAAGTCATCGTGACTTTAAAAATGAAGTAATGATTTACTCATATGTATGAATAAACGTATACACATTTTTTTTTATGTTTATATATTGACAGATAATGACAGGTGACAGGTAATGACATTTGACAATGACGTTTCGTGCTGCGTCAAATCCTTAGCGACCCTAGCAACCGCTTCCGTATCGTTGCTATGTATTTTTAACGTAAGCCGTTATAAATTACGGAACGGAGCATGCTCGATGTTACTCATCACGTTTCGTGCTTCGTGAAGTCCTTAAAGACCCTAGCAACCGCTTCCGTATCGTTGCTATGTATTTTTAACGTAAGCCGTTATAAATTACGGAACGGAGCATGCTCGATGTTACTCATCACGTTTCGTGCTTCGTGAAGTCCTTAAAGACCCTAGCAACCGCTTCCGTATCGATGCTATGTCCAAAACGTCATAAAAATCGTAGAGACTTAGTAAACGCTCGGTTTTAAAAACGATTTTCTCCCTCTTGATTGGAGGATCCAATGGAATTACGTAAATATCAAATGAAGATCTTATTGCTTATTTCCAGTGTGTAAACAATCTAGATTATTTCATCTGAATCATTGATCTAGATTAATTTGTACGATCTTTTGATCTGATGTAGATCCTTTTTCAAGTGATAATCTTTAATCTGATTTAGATCAAACATAGGAATGATCTTTAATCTAAAATTAATATTAAGGTTATTGTACTATACTAGAGAGGATACGTATAAGATTGAAAAAGAATAACCAAAGGTTTACATGATGGTTTAGTTAATACCGATTTAAAGGAATTGACAAATCATAGACAATTTTTAGGAATATTAGCAATTGATCAATTCCTTTAGATTGGTACTGACAACCGGATTAATGGCCAGTTTCTTCACCTTCGGATAAAATTTATTCTGTGGATAAATCCCCAGCTAATCAATCATTTTTATATTTTATAAGTTTATCCGTAGGATAAATTTTATCCGAAGGACGTGAGTTCCGAACTCGAGACTCTCGGACGTTAATCCAGCATCAAGCACGTGTGCTATCGAGTCATTGTGGTATATTATTTAGCAAACTTATATTTGTGTAGTTACCCACGTTCGAGAGTTTTTAAAAGTTTTATTTGCTTACTCTATTATTTCCAGAGCTTCATATGATTATTAAGAGTATTGAGTACCTTATTACTACGGTTTATGTAATATCCTGTAAAAAAAAAGTTGGATACAAGTCTCCCTATTTGAGTGTTCACCCGGTTTAAAATCGTGGATCTCGAGGAACACACGAATTCATTCGACCAATCAAAAACGTGGAACTAGTTCGAGAGTCTCGTTCAGGTGGCGCGTCGACGCGCCAAAACACAGCTCCAGATTATCACGCGTAGTATTACTATATATACACGACCAATCAAAAACGTGGAACTGCTTCGAGGGCCCTCCGCTAAGGTGGCGCGCCGAAACAGAGAAAAATTGAGACCACCAAAAACAGGCTCATTAGCAATCTCCCTACTCATCTCTGAATGTACTATACTAGAGAGGATACGTATAAGATTTAAAAAGAATAACCAAAGATTAACGATCAAATGACCAATGAAATGTATTTGCTCTCTCAGCGGGTTTTGCTGAACATACCCAATCACGTTGATTTGTTTTTATAAGCTTTGCACCATTCGTTAACTCTACCCTACCTTTATATGTGTTGGATAGAACATATGTGACCGGTTATATAAGATTCAAATATTAAAAATGAGTATCAACCGCAATTGACAGTCATCAGCGGAGTATCATTATTTCATTGTGATCTGTAAATACAATAGCGAGTATTAGTCAGTACCTAAGCGTGCAATTATGGCAGATGCCATTCTAGAAGAAGAAGAAGCAGATAATGTGCAAGTACAAGAAGGCGTAAAGTTGTAAAAGTACCATATATCCTTCGAGGTGAATATTTTTGTATATTAGAAAAAACGGACACCAAAATTAAGGCAAAATGCAAAATTTGTATGGATGGAAAAGGTTCTTTGTCTGGCGATATCCGGTCAACCGGAAATTTTATCAGACATTTAAAGGTAAGTTTATACTCAAAATGTATTATTATAAAAATATAAACATTGTAATTGTATCTGCTATTACATACCAGGCAGCTACAATTTCTTAAGATCTTGGAGAACATGGAATCATTTTAGGGTTCATAAGTTAATGTTGTAATAAATTTTGATGTTATCTGTATTCTTGTGCAGAGCGATTTAAGAGCATTGTAAATATGATTTATGCATTATTGTTAAGTGGATTATGCTTAAAGGGTTCATAAGTTAATGTTGTAATAAATTTTGATGTTATCTGTATTCTTGTGCAGAGCGATTTAAGAGCATTGTAAATATGATTTATGCATTATTGTTAAGTGGGTTATGCTTAACTTTTCATACATATATTGCAGTAAATGATTGTGTGGCACTACAAAAAATATTTGAATCATAAGAATGATCTAAAGATACAAATGAAAAAGTCAAAACACAAAGATCACTCCCAATCCAGTGTAAAGGCATGGATAAAAGGTTTCCATTCTGCAGTATCAAAAATAAAGGTATGTATAATTTGCTTATTAAATGTTCCTATAGAAAAAATTCAATGTAATCTCAATGTTGTAAAACCTTGTACGACAGCATAAAGCTTGCAAATGTATTCCTTATAATTATCTAAACAAATTTGAAACTGCAACATTAGGATTTTTAACTGGATCAGAGTGGTGGAGGTCGATTCGACCCAGGCCAACCACACGCTAAAGTGGTAAAAAAGAGCCCTACAGTGATTGAGTTAAGAAAGTATTTAATTTAATTGAGCATATTAAACATGTGTAATATACATTATAATTAGCAAGTGTTTAGTGAATGAATCATCTGTCATCAGACCGACTAGTTAAACTAAATTAGAGTACTCTATTTCATGAATCATTGGTGGATATTTTTCAGTTGTTATATAAACCTTACTTCATAGGACAATCTTAATAATAGGTTGATATCTCGCTACAATATTATCTTAAAAATCATGTTTCTTACAGCTATTGCAGTTGGTGGCATCTTACATTATAGAAGAAATGAGACCTGTGGTTACTGTAAAAAAGCCAGCATTTAGAAGCCTTATTAAACAGCTTTCGGGATTGACACCTCCAAGTAGACAGGCTGTAACTAATTACTGCATTGAGTTAGAGGAATCAAAAAAGACTGCTCTGAAAGTAGAGTTGCAAGCAGCAAAATACTGCTGTACCACTGCTGATATTTGGAGTCATCACAGTCGAAGCTTCATAGGAGTAACAGGCCATATCATAGATAAGGATAATTTTCAACGAAAATCGTATTTGCTTGCATGTCGTAGAATGAAGTTCTCTCATACCTTCTTAGATATAGCTAAGACTCTGTTGGATATTCATGAGGAATATGATCTTCAAGCTTCAAAACTTGTTGCAACAGTGACTGATAACGCTTCTAATTTTGGAAAAGCTTTTCGAATCTTTCAAATGCCCTGCGCAGTAAATTCAGAGGATGAAGAGTTTTTAGACGATCCGTTGGAATCGGAAATGGAGATAGTTCCATTACCCAATAATCTTCGCGATTTTGTAAGTGAAGATTATACTGGCATTATGGAAGATGCCAACCAGTATTTACCAGAGCATTTCAAATGTGGCTCACATACATTGAATTTGATAGCAACAACTAATGCTGCCAAAGCCCTAGAAGATCGAAATTATAAGCGAGCCTACCAATCAGCATTTAGCAAATCATTTAGCCTGTGGAATTTGTGTAGCCGATCTACGACCGCTGTTGATATTGTTGACGAAACTTGTTCTGTTAAACTTTCTATACCATGTCCAACTAGATGGAATTCTATATATGATAGTTTATCTTAGCTCTTGTCTATAAAACAATACCTTCCAAGTCTCTGTGAAAAGCTAAAAGTGCCTAAGTTCAAAGTTGCAGACATAGAATTCTTAACAGAATATTTGGCAGTAACAAAACCTCTTGCTTTGGCAATAGATATTTTTCAAGGAGAAAAAAATTGTTTTTTTTTGGCATTGTGTTGCCCACTGTTGTGCAGTTACAACAATCACTGGCACAAAATACACATTTAACATATTGTACTGCGCTTAATGAAGCATTGTTAGATGGCTTGAGAAAACGTTTCGGATATGTAATAGATTTTCATAACACAGCGAGTAAGCCATTTATATTAGCAACGATAACTCATCCAAAATTTAAACTGCGGTGGATATCAGCATTGTTTGAAAATGAGCAATCTCATGCAGAACAAATATGTCGAAATTTGCTTTTTAAACAAGCCGAAGTAGTACGTGAATCTTTGCAATTGAGAGAAAACTCCGGGTCTGAAGAAAGTATGACACTCTCCTCCGATGATGATACTAAGTTTTTTAAATTTATGACTTCAAAAATCAGACAGTGTGAATAATAACAATAGTTCGCACGAGAAAACTCCGGGTCTGAAGAAAGTATGACGCTCTCCTCCGATGATGATACTAAGTTTTTTAAATTTATGACTTCAAAAATCAGACAGTGTGAATAATAATAATAGTTCGCACATGGAATGTCTCACTTACCTTGACGAAAAAAGTAAGGATATCCAAGTTTTAACGAAATATCCAATAGTTAAGGAAATGTTTCTACAATACAAAACTGTAATTTCGTCGCCCGCACCCGTTGAAAGGGCGTTTAGTGTTGGTGGTCAACTTTTAACCCCCAGACGTAATAAGTTAACGGATGAAACATTTGAAAGGCTTCTTTTTTGCAAATATAACAGTGGGGTTGGTAATATTTCATAAATTAGATAACTATCGAATATTACAAATTTAATTTTAATTGCATTTGAGGATTATAATCATAATAAAATGAATAGAAGATAGTTTCTTTATTTACGTCTTATAATTGATGTTAGTACTGTTTTGGTAACGCGAAAGCAGAAAATTGTAACCAGTTATTGTAATAGTGATTCTTCTTTAAATATACATTGCATAGAACCTAATATTCATTCTTCTGATGAAATACAAAATCTACAATTCAATTAAACTTTATTTCTACATTTTGCAAACTGCTATATTGATTCTTTGTGGCGATAGTGGCAGAATCCTTTCTACATTGGGATGTATTTGGTGGTATTTTTTTGTCATGGTTCGATTCTACAAA